TTTTTTTTTTTTTTTTTTTTTTTTTGAGTATATCATAAAAAAGCTTATATTTTTATATTTCATTTTCCTATATATGTTGTGAATATAAATATGTTTTAACTAAAAATGTTTCCTTAAATATTAAAATTTTTATCAAAAAAAAAAAAAAAAAAAAAATACTAGAATAATTTAAATTACAAAATGTAAAAAAATGAAAAAATAAAATATATTTACTTTTTTCTGTTACTTATTATGTACTACTTAATATTAAAACAAAAATAAACTTTTTTTATTAAACTTTGTTTTAATTTATCATTATGAAGAACATAATATTTACATATATATGATTTTAATTAAAATTCTTCTATAAATAAAAAATATATATTATTCTTAAATTTTTTTATGTTATACATAAAATTTTTTTAAATGTCTTTTTGATTATTTTTTATATTATCATAATCTTTTCTACGATTATTTTTTTTTTATTAATATCTCTGAAGTTTTAAATATATACATATATATAATATGTCTTATTATTTAAAACCTTAAAAAAAATTATTGTTTTATATAAATCTGAAAGAAAATAATAATGATATTTTATGTAAATCTATTAAAAATTATTTAGCTCATGGAGAAAAAAACATTTCCTAAAGATATTAAAAAAAAAAAAAAAAAAATTTAAATTTATCATTTAAAAATATATGTAAGGACATTTTTTTTATATTATATTTAAAAGATATATTTTTAAATAAGTTTAATTTTCATACGTTATTGATAATAATAAATTTGTGATTACGGAACTTTTTTTCATTATATAGTATTATGATTTATCGTCTTAAATTATTATTACACATATATAATAAGATAAACAATTACAATAATGCAAATGTTAGTAATAAATATAAAATATTAAAAAGTATATATTCTTTATGTAATTTCGTATTCAAAAGCAGTATATGGTTTTTTAAATAAACCGCGTTTCAAAAATAAATGAAAGTAAAATTTGTGAGATGATATGAACGTAAAAAGAAAATAATCATTTTTCATAGAAATGGAATATAATGTTAAAAAATTTACAAATTATAAAAATTCTCTAAACAATGAAACTATTTCAAAGAGAAACTTAAGTATAACTGAAAAGAAAAATGAAAAAAATAAAAGTATATTATCGCACGAAAATGTGTATTATTCTAAATATAAAAATGTATTTAATTCTGGTAATAATAAATTTTCATATAATTTAAATAATTGTAAGGATAAAAATAATTTAAAAGACACAAAGGGTAAAGATTATATAGAAAATTCAGAAAACATAAACAATTCGTATAAGAAAAATGATTCAGATAATTTAAGAAATAAAAATTATATAAGTATATTAAAAAATATTGATAGTAAAAATAAGAATATCACATATAAAAGAAAATCAATTTTTGAGGAAAAAAAGCAAAATGAACAAAATATCAACATAAAAAAAAAATATATAGAAAATGATAAGAAAGTTAATGAACTTAATAAAGTGGAAAATGTAAATTTAGAAAAAAATAAAAACATAGAATGTTTTAATTCAATTAATGAATTTAATGAATTAAAATCAGTCGCAACACATTCAGAAAAAATAGAAACTCTAAAACTAAAGAGTACTATTAAAAATAATAATGAAAAATTTTTACGTATTAGAAAAGTATGGGCTAATTTAAAAAATAATAATAATGAATCAAAATTTAAATTTATAGAAAAACCTATCTTTGATAAAAAAGATAAAAAAATACCTATAAATGAAAGCATAAATATAAATAACAAAAATAGTACATTAATTGGAATTGATAAAACGAAAAATGAAACAACACATAATGAAAATAAGAAAATAATTCCCAAAATATCTCTTATTAAAAATAATAAAAAAAATCAAATATATAATGAGATAAAACAAAATCATATGTCTAGTAAAATTCTAAAAAATAAAATTGATGAAACTATTGGTTCAGAAACTGATAACATAAAAAAGAATGTTATAAATTTGAAATTGAAAGAAATTAATAAGCCTTCATTATTAAGTATTAATAAAAAGGAAAAAAGTATAAACAAATTTACTAGATTTTCACCTAAATATCTCTTAAATAATTCTAAGTCTTCTTTTAAAAAAAAAACAACTAATTCAATGTCTAACGAAAAATTTCATGAAGATCTTAAAAAGATTTTAATTAACACAATTATAAATCCTCAAAAAGAAAAAAATATGTCAGATCAACTTTTTCCAAAAAATACATATGAATTTTCTAAAAGAGGAAATATTTCTTTAAATAAAAGTAATTTAATTAATAAAGAAAATCCTGAAAGTGCTATTAAAAATGTTTTCTCTAAAAATTCAATAAACATAAAAGAAAAAATACCATTAATAAAAAATCAAAATAATTTTGATACAAAGCAAAAGATAATTAGAAGATTTTCTACAGTACATGATAGCCAACGTTTTATTTTTAATAAAAATAATTTTACGAGAAGATTTAGCATTTCGAATGATGAAGAAAAATATGTAACAAATAATAAAAGTAACTTAATTCATGATAAGCTTAAATTGAATTCTGGTGATAATAAGTTAAAATATGAAAAAAGTATCCAATTAAAAAAGATTCAAATAAATAGTAGCCTGAATTGTCCAAGTAGTGTAAATGATAAAGATAATTATGAATCTAATATATTATATAAACATATTAATAATATAGGAGAAAGCAAAAATATTTTAAGAGGGAGAGAATCTGCTTATGTTAAGAATTTTCCATTATTAAATAAAAGAAATATTACACTAGAAAGTACTAAAAAAGAAAACAAAGTGAATAAATCAAAAAATTTGGAAAATAAAAATGAATTATTATCAAACATACCGAAAAAATTAAATACGTTAAATTTACCAATAAGAAAAATGAATGTTTCAAATATAAATAAAGAATGCTCTTTTCTTAATAGAAATTTTAAAACAAATATATATAAAAATTACATTCATTTAAAAGAAAATATTAATATTAAATCAAAAAGTAAATTGAAAGAAAATTCAAAAAAAAATTCTTCATCTGTTAATAAAATTGTAATAAAAAATAATTCAAGCATATCTAATAATTCCTTAATTAAGGAAAAAAATAACTTATTAAAAAATAAAATATATATGCAATATAATAATAAGGAAAATTTAAAGTTAGGTGATAATATTAAATTGAATAGAAATAACATTAATGAAAATTATTTAAGAAATAATGATCAAATAACGGAAAAAGAAAGTAAAAAATATAATGAAAACAAAGATTATTCTCAACCAAAAACTAATTTACATGAAGATAAACTTTATAAAACTTGTTTTTATGAAGATATATTAACTAATAAAGAAGAGATTCAAGATGATTCTATGATATTATTAAAAAATAATTTGAGTGAGGGAAATGATAAAATTAAGAGCATACCTAATTTAAACAATGAATATGAAAAACTGTCTAATTTGAATTCTAATAATTACAATTCAAATGAGAAATATGTATCAGAGGATATTTTACTGCATACAAAAACAAAATATATATCCTCTATAAAAATAAAAAAATCTAATAACCATAATGAACAAAAAATAATTGGAAATAAACTTATATTTTATAATAATAAGAATAATTGTGAAGATAACTATAATAATGAAAAATATTTTTCTCTAAAAGGAGAAGAAAAATCTATAAAACATTTAAAATTTGACGAATTAGAAAGCAATTGTAAAGAATACAACAATGATAATAATTTAAAAAAAAAAGTAAATCTTCAATTTAGCAAGGAAAATATTTCATCAAGTAAAAAAATTACAAATATACTTGATGATAAAAGAATAAATGAAAATTCACAATATGATGAAAACATAGAGAATACATTTATAGATAACACAGAGAAAAAAAATAAGCAAATGAATACTAGTAAAAATTTCTATAAATTAAATATAGATAACGAAATCTTACATGATGATAAATTAAAAAACAAAATAAATGAAAATTATTCAATTTCTAAGAAAAATAATGAAACATGTGAATACATTAACAATGTTATAACTGAATATAAGACTGATCAAATTATTCATAAAAAAGAAATAGAAAATATTGAAAATGATAATTTAGAAATATTATGCCATGAAAGCAATAATGATGAAAATAAACATAATGTGACTTCATTTATTCATAATGATAAACAAAGAGATGAACATAAATCAATTAAAGAAAATAAAGAAGAGATAAAGAATGATATGGGTATAAAAAGATGTATAACGAAAAATATAAATAGAGACAAAATAAAATTACAAACTAATTCAAATAAAGTTTTTGATATTACAAAAGAAATAGAGGAACAAGAAACTTTAATAAATCTTACAAATAAAAAAAATAAACATGAAACAGACAATATATCACTCTTGAATAATGTAAATTTAAGTGTTTTAATGCTTTCAGATAGTCATATAGAATACTCTGATGTCATATATGGTAAAAAGGAAAAATCAAATATATACAATGAAAATGGAAATATAAAAGAAAATAAAAATGATTTAAATAAAAAAAAAAAACTAGAAAAATTAAATTATGAAGATGTTTTAACTTCAAAAAAGGATCATATAATAAATTATGAAAAGTGGGAATATTTAAAAGAAAAAAAAAATAAGGATTTTATTAAATTTAATAAAAATAACAGTGACATGGAAAATGCTGAGAAGGATATGGAAATAAAAAAAAGTAAAAGTTTGATTATAAAAAATGACTGCAAAAAAATGAATAAATATAAATATGATTATTCTGATAAAAAGGATGAAGGAAAAAAAAAAATTAATTATATATCAAATAACAATAAAATAGGAACCAACCAACATATAGAAAAGAAGAAAAAAGAAAATATTATTTTAGAAAATGAAAATCACATAAAGAGTGAAAGATATTTAAATTTAAATAATATATCTAAAAGATCTCTTTCAAATAAATTCCTGAATGAAGAAAAGAAAAAAAATGCAAAATATAATTTCTATTTAAAATTTAAAAATAATTATAACCTTAGTGTTAATAAGATAAAAACAAAAAATTTAAAGAAAAGAAGAATAAATAAAATATATGACAATATATTTCATTTAAATGATGAAGAAAAAAATATAGATAATGAATCTCAAGCCAATATAAATTTTCATAGAAAATATGACAAAAAAAAAAAAAATGTTAAAAAAAGAAAAATTGAAAAATTTTCAAATGTTAATTTAAATCATTTAAAAAAGAAAGAAAAAGAAAAATTAAATAATCCTTCTGAAGGATATAGTATTGAAGAAAACAATGAAATGGAATACACTAAAAACTACAAAACAACTGATGAAGAAAAAAAAAATATCTTAAAAAATAGTCATATATTAGATAATGAAACGTATTATTGCAATAAAAAGAAAATTAATGATTTAGTTAAAATTGAAGAACATAATTATGAAGAGAAAAAAGTAAAAATATCAGAAGAATGTGAACAATTAGAAGAAAATTTAGAGAAAAATAAAAATATATTTTTTTATGAGCATGAGTGGATGAACATAATTTTCCAAATTATAAATAATGATAAATTTTATTTAGCAGAAAAATTGATGATTTTAATTTTTGAAAAAGAAGAATCGTTATACAAGTCATTCATAGAAAAAAAAAGGTCAAAAGAGAAAAATAAAAATGATTATAATGAAAATCAAACAGATGAAAATAATATCAATAAAAATGTGAATAAAATAAATAGGGAATTGTCTGATTTTATGAAGCAAATTGTGAACAGTTGTCCAGAAGAATGGCCACTATTAGATATAGCTATTCTAATTATAGTTTCACAAATAGTTTGCTTTATTTTTATTTATAATAAATGGAATTTTTTTTGTGAAAGTTGCAGAATATTTGAAAAACATTGTATTGCTATTTTATTAAATTCATCAATAATTAATTTTAAAAAAAATGATAACACAATGCTTATGTTTGAACATTTTTTTTTTTATAAAATTATTATACCTAAGAATTATAAACCATCTAATAATACTTTAAAATATCATACAAATTATTTAAAAAATGATTATCTAATTAAAGAAAAAACTATTTTAGATGTAATTTTTTTGGCATTAGCTTGTTATATTACTATTAGCCATAATTTAAATGAATATATAGAAAAAAATAATATCATATGTTATTTAAATGTATTTCATAAAAATTTTGATAAAAAGGAGAGATTAAAAGATGAAGAAAATAGAAAAACAAGTAAAAGAAAAAAATGCAAATTGTTAATGAATAAATGGGGTTCTACCAATAGTAAAAAAATAAAATACAGATTTTCAGAAAATTTACACAAAAATAAATTAAAAATATATAATGATAACAAGAAAAAAAGAAGAAAAACTTATTTTGAACAAAATTTGAGAAAAAGGATGAGTATACTAAGAACAACAAAATGTATAAACAAAAAAGAGAATAATAAAAAAAAAAATATTCACTTAAAAAAAATATGTACATATAAGGAAGAGAATATTATTAATGATAATTCTAAAGCAACAGAAAATTATTTAGAAAATGAATCAATCATTAACAATGATAAAGAAGATAAAACAGATAAAATAGAAAATTCTCAAATAAGTAACAATATAAATAATTTTGTTTTATTTAAAAATAATAAAATTGATACAATTGTAAAATATCAGACAAAAACAAATTTTGAAAAATTGTTGTGCTTAATAATAATAGAAATTTTTAATTTAATTTACGACAGTAGAGAATATTCAGTTGAGAATGTTTTAATTATAAGAAAATTCTTTCGTGTATTTCTAAATTTTGCTCAAAAAAAATTTATATCTATATCTATTCATTTACATTTTTTAAAAAGAAATGAAATAAAAAAAAATTACAAAGAAGAAAAGAATCATGAAAATAATAAAATAAAACAAACAGAAAATGATACAAAAAACATAAATGAAAATTATAATGAAAAAAATTATAAAAAGGTAAATAGTAAAAATATAATTGATAATGATAATAAATCGAATAATCTTATACCACTGCCTAATCATATATATGATAATTATAATAATATATGGACATGGGTGGAAAGAATATTTTCTGAGAATTTTTATGAAATAAATAATATGTTATATAATTTGTGTTCAACTAAAAAAAATAATGTAGAAAATAATGAAATAAACATTAATTATGAAAAAATAGAATTAATTAGCCAAAATATTAAAAGATATTCTTCTTTACAAAAACACAATTGTTCTATTTTAAAAAATTATTGGATAATTTTCGGCTTAAAAGAAAGAATTAGCAGTATATGTTTATCATCAAATTCTTTACTTTCTTATCATCATTTTCCAAAAAATTTTTTACATAAAGAGAGTATTACAAAAAAAAACATTTTTTTTAAATTAGAAAAAAAAGATTTCATATATGATACACTTACTTTATATTTTTTATCATGGATAGAATGTATTTGTAAAGTATTTCTTTCAATTAACGAAATCCCATCTTTCCTACACCTACAAAATAAGAAATATTTCATGAATGATATAATTAATAAAAATGAAAATAAATTATCATTATTTAATATATCGTTAAAAAATAGTAGCTCTAACGAATATATAGTCAAATGTAAAGAGAATGATAATAATGATTGTTATGAACAAAATGAAAAAGAAAATAGTAGTTTTTTATTAAAACAAATTAAAACGAAGTTAAAAATATATGATATACAGTGGCATGAAAAGTATGAAAAAAAATATTTGGATTTATTAATATGTATGAAAATAATGAAAAAAAAATTTAAACAAAAAAAAATGTTCAAGAAAATTATGAAATATAATATATCATCTATTTGGTTAAATAAAAGCCAAATTTATTTACAATATATTCAAATAACAATTAACTGTAAATTTTTTTTAGGGTGTTCTTATCATGAGATATATTTGTTTATAAAAAAAAATTATGAACTTCTTATTAACATGATAGATCATAATGTAGATGAAAAAAGAAATTATGATGAATGTACAAATGAAAAAGGGAAAAAAATTTATAATGAAGATGAAAATAAATATGCTTATGAAAATGAAAATATAATTAGTGAAAATATTTTGTTAATGGGTTGGGAAATTGCGAATTTTTACTTTTGTATACTTTATTTTAAACTAGAACTAAAAAGTATTTTAATAGAAATATTAAAATGGATAAAATTTTTTGAAAAAAATGGAAAAAATTTCTATGATTTTTTTAAATTTCGTTGTGTAACATATATTTTACATATATTTATTTTTTCAAATAAATATAAATGTGCTCAAAAAATAATTAAACGTATATCTCATGATTATTTTAAATGTAACTTTTTAAAAATGGGATCTAAAAATTTATTAAGAAATAATAATAATGATAATTCTACCACTGCTGGTAATAATAATTCTACCACTGCTGGTAATAATAATTCTACCACTACTGCTAATAATAATTCTACCACTGCTGATAATAATAATATTAACAATAATAGTAATAAAAAATATCCTAGAAGTAATTTTCCAACATCTGAAAAAAAAGAATTATATTCTCATATTTTGAATAAATGTTATTTATATGATAAATGGATAAATTTCAAAATGAAAAAATATAATAATATTATTATATATTTATTAAAAAAGAAAAACATTGTTAAATTAATTCAATTTAATAATAAAAATTTAAATATTCTTATAAAAAAGAAAAAAGAGAAAAAATTAATAAGAAAAGTTAGTTTTAAAATGGCAAAATTACAAAATATATTACTATCACTTTACCATCTATGTATCAAATTATATAAAAGTTATTATTATCATTCGTCTATTTTGCATTATGATACTTCACAACAAATTTTAGCTGCATCTAAATATTTAAACATTGTTATAAAAAAAAAAGAAATAATAATGAATTATTTTCCTTTATATTTTAATAATAAGAAAAATATAAAAAAAAAAAATATTATAAATGTTTCCAATTCTTTTACAGATTCTCAAAGTTTATTAAGTGTAGATAGTATTTTTAATGAAAGTGCAAATTTATTAAAAATTCCTTCTTTAAATAATGAAGAAAATAATAATTATTTATATGAAAATAATAAAGAGTATTTAAAATCAAATATAGAAAATAATATGAATAATATAAATAATAATGAAAATAATGAAAATAATAATGAAAATAATGAAAATAATGATTTATTTTATCTTCATGCTCTTATCCTTAGTATACAGATACAATATACATTATCTATTTCAATTATTATATGTTCTGATTTATTTAATTTTCCTAGAAAATTGAAAAAATTAAAAAAAATTAATAAAAAAAATAAAAATGTTCAAAAGGATAATTACAAAATTTTAAAATTTATTTCTTCTTTATTTAATTATAAAATTCTCTGTAAACATTATAGAATTATAAACGGGAATAATTCTAACAAGGATGAGAAAAAAAAAAAAAAAAAAAAAAAAAAAATTAGTAACACTAATAATTTATATAATGATATTAATAATAATAATTTAGATATTACTTATTCAAAAAGAGAAAATGTGGATAACAATTTTTTATTTAGCGAAATAAGTAATAGTACAAGTAAAATTTGTAATAATGATTTTATGTTACCAAAAGAAAATATTGACCAAAAGGTAATGAAAGAAACAAATATTTCTTTAAGTGATTTTAATAATATATTAGATGAAGAAAATAATAGATGTTATAATTCAGATATTATTATATCATCAAAAAATAACTATCAAGAATTGAATGATAAATTATCTACTTTAAGTGATTCTATTTCACTTAGCTATAAAAATTATAAGAATTATATTTTAAAGAAAAAAAAGAAATATAACCACTCTAATAAATTAAAAATAAAAGATGATATGAACATAAAAAATAATCTTCACATTTTAATAAAAATTTCAACTTGGCTAAGTAAGAACTCTGCATCTCAACTAATATGGATAGCACAGGTTTTAATCATAAAATTTAATATATGAAATATACAATAATTCACTTTTATTCATTTTTTAAAATTTTTATTTTTTAGAAATTATTTAAAATGTATCTACCTGAATTACTATGCATTATTTTAGCGCTTCAAGCAAATATGTTTAAGAATAAAAATATTTTGACAGTAAAAAAAAAAAAAAAAATTAAAAAAATAATTAGGAAAATGCTTTATTATTTTACACACAAGTGGATCATTATTATTTCTATTATAAAAATTATATATTATATATTATATATTAATTTAAATCTGTTATCTTTTCTGTATTTTTTATTTATTATATATTTAATACAATTTTTTTTTTTTTTTTTTTTTTTTTTTTTCTTTTTCTTTTTTTTGTATTTATTTTAAATTTTAATTCATATAAATAAATATATATCCTTCTAAAAATTTTCCTTATTTCTTTTTTTTTTTNAATTTTTTTTTTTTTTTTTTTTTTTTTTTTTTAGAATATAAAACGAATTGACAGAATTTTGAAATTATGCTCAGAAAATCCACAGTTAGTTTATTTTGCTACAGAATCATTAAAAGGTTACAAAAATAAAAAAAATATAAAGAAATATAAAAATTATTTTGAGATAAATAAGAAATATAAAGAAATATTTTTGAAAAAAAAAAAAGACATAATTAATTCAGAAGACATTTTATATAAAGTCTGTAGTTATTTTTTTAATTAAAAATAAAATTATTTAATTTACAAATTTAAAAAAAAAGTAAATATGTAAAAAAAAAAAAAAAAAAAAAAAAAAAAAATNTTTTTTTTTTTTTTTTTTTTTTTGTTTTTTTTTTTTTTTTCTTTTTCTTTTTTTTGTATTTATTTTAAATTTTAATTCATATAAATAAATATATATCCTTCTAAAAATTTTCCTTAAGCCTTTTTTTTTTTTTTAAAGGAAATAATAATGTTAAAATTTATTAAAATTATTAATATTATATACCTAATGATAATATAAAAAAAATTTTTTATTTTCCTACAGAAGTGCAAATATAAAATAAGACAAAAAAAAAAAAAAAAAAAATTATAACCATAATTAATAATTCATATCTTTAAAAATAATATGATTTCATGAATAATAATATAAAAATTAATGTATCATTAATTAGGTGTAATAATTTTAAGTTCTTTGAAAATTTTTCTATTTAAATTTTTAATTTCTTTAAAATTTTTCCTTAATTTATTTTCTTAATATCGTTTTTATTAAGCATAATATTTAACAAATGGATTTTATCTGAAATTATATTATTATCTATTTTATTTAGGTCGTTTTCAGCTATATATGCCAATAATTTTTGTGAAAGAAAATTATATAAACTATTATTTAAAAAATTAATACTATAATGCATTATTTTAAATAAATTTAATTCCTTTTCTTTATCACTTTCTTCATAAAATAAAGGAATTATTTTTGAAACATATTTATTGTATTTTTTTTTATTATCTTCATTATATATTTTATTATTTAAATCGTCATCACAAGAGGTTACTATACATTCATTATTGATGTTATCTAAATCATCATATATATAACTTTTTTTAGCTACATTAGAACTATTATTATTTAATAAATTTTTTCCTATATCCAATATATTACTAGTTTCATTATCTATATTATTATTTTTTTTATTTGTTTCTATATATAGTTTTAATATGTAGCTAAAATAATATTCCAGTAATGGTAAGGAATTTGAAAAGCATTCAGAATTATAATTTTTTAAAATAAAATATAAAAAAAATTCACAATATGTAAAACCTTTTTTTAAGAAAATATTATAAAATATAATTTGAAAAATATAATTATTATAATCATTATTTTTTAAATTATCAAGAATTTCTTTGTTTACTTTGAACAATTTATTTTTTAAAAAATAGGAATCTAAATCAAGGTAAAATTTATTCATTTCTTCTTTTGATATATATATTTGAATTTCGTTACCACACTTTTCTTCATTTTTACTCTTATTGTTTTTATTTTTATTTTTACACATTTCTTCATCTTCTTTATTATTTTTTATATTTTCTTCTATTTCATCATTTAAAAATATTTTTTTAATATCAAATATAAATTTCTGTTTTTTTTCTATTTTTTTTATTATTTTTTCACAATATTCTTCAGACAATTTTTCATGTTTAACTATGTCAAAATTTAAGGAATTAAATATTTTTTGAAATTCCATTTTTTTTTTTTTTTTTTTTTCATAAGTATCTAAAAAATTTACTTTTGTGTGTCTTTTGCTACCATAACTTTCTTTTCTTTTAATAAATTTTGGAACTTTTATTTTTTGAATAAAGCTTAGATTTTCATTATATAAAAAGTCTTCACATAAAAACATACCATTTTTTATTAATTTATTATATTTAGGTAGTAATTTATTTATAATAAAATTATTATCTTCATATAAAAAATCCTTAAAATTTTTATTATAATTACTTGATTCTTCATTTTTTCCATTTTCTTTAATATTATTTTTTCCTTCAATTTGATTAATACTGCTTTCTTCTTCTGACATATTAACATTTTCATTGCAGTTTTTTATAATATCATCATTATTATATAATACATTATTTTCATTAGATTTGTTATCACTTTGATATATTTCTAAAGCATTTTCATTTTTTGATTGAAAATTTTCTTCATTTTTTAACTCCTTTAATTTAAAAATACATAATGCATTTTGATTTGTTAATTCATATAATTCAATTATATCATTATTTAATGGTGGTAGTAAACTTATTTCCTTTATTTCATTTTCATTTACATTTTTAATATCATTAAATGAATAATCTGAATTATCCTCTAGCTTAAATTGATCTAAATATTCTACAACAACTTTGAGATTTTCTTGTAACAAAAAAAAAACAATTGGGTTTTTTAAAAAAGGAACATTCCCTAGTTTACTTTTACGATATATTTTATCTACATATTTAGAATAAATAAATAAGGATAAAAAAAAAGTACTAGATTCTCTTGTATTAATTTTATAACCTTCTTTTATACATAAAATTTTTAAATCGTTTAGGTTGTTTTTTTCATCAAAATTTTCATTATGTGTATAAGTGATAACTTCGCATGATTCTGATGAAAAAGAAACTAAAACTTTCCATTCAGTTATATAAACAGTTTTAATAAAATTTTTTTTATCAAAATTCTCAAAAAAAAAGTCATTTACAGAATAGTTAACTCTTTTTATTTCATTATCATCTATATTGATATCATAAGTAATACTTGTTAAATCATTCGTTTCCTTATATAAAACTACTATAAACAATTTTTTTTTTTTTTTATCTGATTCTAATATTTTTGCACATATTATATTACAATATTCATATACGATATCTATTTCTTTACTAATAATACTTAAATCATAAGAATTTGTATTACTTTCGTTTTTTAATATAAATGTTTCTTCATTTGAATAAGAAAATAAAAATTCTCCATTTTTTTCATCAATATTATTAATAGGATTTGTAAAATCAGAGGATTCATGTATTATTTTATCTTTTAATATATATATTTTTTCATCTTCACTCAATACTAAAAAAACAAAATTATCTACAAAAAAAATATAAATATACATATATATGTATATATATAAAGAATGTAATAATAAAAAAAAAAAAAATTCAGTTATTCTAATTATGTCAATGTTTTCTTTTATTATATAGATTTATTTCTAATTATCAAATTTTTTTTTTTATATTTTTTTTTTACTTATTTAATACCTATATGTTTTATCTGTTTAATTTTTAGGTAAGTATTGCAATACAAGTTAACTTCATCATTATTATAATCAAATATATAAATATTAAATTGATCTGTGTATATAAATGATAAATCATCCTTTTTATTATTTTCTATTAAAAGAACATTTTCTTCAAAAGGTAATGACTTAATATTTATGTTGCTATTATCATTATCAATTTTATATAAAAAATCAGATAATGAAAATATATTTAAATTTTTATTAAAAATATAAAAACCTTTTTGCTTCAAATTACTAATCATAAAATTATTATTAGAAATATTACTTTCTAAATATCCTGTTTCTTTTTTTCTTTTTTTCTCTTCTTCTAGTATAGAAAAAAAAGATCCATGTTGAAATTTAAAGTATTCTGATTCTTCAATAAACTCTATTTCATTAATTTCAACCATTTTTCTTTTTTTCTCTTTTATTTAAAAGATATCTTCTTTTTCATCTCGTTCAATTAAAAAATATATACATAAATAAATATACATATATATATATATATATATATATATATAATCAAATTGGTATATTAAAAAAAAATAAATATTTACGACTCAAGGATATTTTTATATTTTTTTTTATAAACACAAAAATGAATTGCACAATTTTAGAAGAAAAAATATTTATAAATTTAGTTTCTTATAAATTCAAAATTTATATATATTTAATGTTTTTATTTTACATTAATACATTCATATCTCTTTCAAAAAAAAAAAAAAAAAAAAAAAAATTAAAATAAAATGATTAATTAAAAAATTAAAAACAAAAAGAAACTAAAATAAAATCATATTATTAAAAAAATTATTTTTTTTTAACTTAAAAAAAAAAATTAATATTGAAATGAAAATATATTATATAAAGATTTTAATTTAAAAATTTAATAAAAATATATAACAAAAATGGTTTAAGAAGTAATTATAATAATTTAGAAAAAATATAATTCATATTTTAAAATAAAGAAAAAAAGTGAAAATAGGAACATTAAAAATAAGAAAGAAAAATTAAAACTAATCAACAGTATATATATATATATATATATGTTTGGTTAAAATTTTCTATTTTTTTAAATGATATATATAATTAACGTTTTTTGAAGGAATAAGGAAGAAATTATTATTAATGTCATAGTATTTCAAATAATAATATAATAAATAACAAGCAGATAAACTATCTTTTCTGTTTTTACAATTTTTGTTATAAAATTTTGAAAATAATGTATTATTTTCATCTTTTACTTTTGTTACCATATTTTTTAAAAGAAAATTTAAAATATTTTTTTCTCCTATGTTAATTTTTTCATCAGAACAAAAATTAAAATTTTCAATATAATAATCTTCTTTTTTATAAATATTATCATTTTTTAATGTAATAACTTCATTATTTACATCAAAAAAAACTTGATTATCGTCTTTTTTTTTTTTTTCTATTTTATTCATAAAATAGCAAATATGCCTTCCCATATCACTAGCTAATTTGTTCATATAGCTCCTATAAAATTAAAAAATTAACGTATATATATAAAAAATCTGCATTAAATTATATTTTTTTAATTTTTATCTCCAATATGTTTAATGATTTTTTGTTAGAGTTTTTATTTTATGTATATTTTATTTATTTATAATTTATCTGTATTTTTGATTTACTTATTATCTTTTTTTTTTTTTTTTTTTTTTTTTTTTCATATTGATAACCCGTTACATCCAACGATAACAAGAA